TCTAAATAAATTTCTTTAAAGAAAATAAAAGTAAAAGATTTTTTAAAATAAATATTGTTTTAAATTTCAAAGTGGTAAAAGTTGAATTTTAAAATAAAAGCTTTTTTAAAACTTCCCTTTTTAAAGTTTCTTTTTCAATAAAAATTTTGTTTTGATTTTAAGTCTTAAAAGTAAAGTTTTTAAAAAAGAAAATAAGATTTTGATTTAAAATAAAGAAAATTAATTCTTTTTAAATAAATTTTATTTTAAGTTAAAATGAATGGCAAATTACAAATGAAGTAAAAGCTTGTTTTGAAAATAAAAGACTTGTTAAATAAGTTTTAAAAAAGTGAAGAGATTTTTTAAATAAGTTTATGATTTTTTTTTAAATGAATTTCAAACTCCAAACAAATCAAAAGTTTTATTTGTTTTTTTGTTTAGAGTTTTAGTTTTTAACAAAGCTTGAAAATAAAAGGTTTGTATTTAAAAAAAGGAAATTTTACAAATTTAGGTGTTGGCATGGTAGCAATAGGCTTGGTCGTCGAAATCCATATTCCAAGTTCAAGCTCTTATATGCCATTTTTTTATTACTCTTTTATCGTTGTTTTTTTTTTTAAGAATTATTTCCAAAACTGCAATGACTCAAGTTGGAACCTTCCAATATTTTCGAGGTTGTTATTTTTTTCCAGATGGTCTTTGCGCTACTCATTCTTGTTGGTTCATATTTTATCGTAAAATGTGAACTAATAAATATGGGAGATTCAAATAAAAACAGAAAAATATTCTTTTGAACCAAATAATATAATAGGATAATTTATGATAAAATATGGTACCATTTGCGAACGGGTGTTGTAGGGTGCTAACACCTTCCCTACGCTCAGTCGACTCTCGAACGAATAACATGCTTTTCGCAGACCTTTTTTCTTTCAAATAGGTGACCAATCCGACCTTATAGATGGTTGGTGGCGACCCCAAACCCTTATTTGAAAAGATATCATTCAGGGAATGACGTCAGCCTCTCAAGGAGATCTTTTAGATTCGAGGACGAATCCTTTTGAATAAGGGGAGAATGGTATGAATATCCAAGCCAAGGTGTACACGCTTGGTGAAGAGTTGCATCCTTTCAAACTTGAAAAGGCATATTATCTTCCAAGAATATTCATGAATCTGAACATCCAGATTCATTCAAATATTAAATACATTATGTATCTTTCAAATTCATGTATTTGCATTTAATACGGTTAATATATGGATTTAAAAGGGTGTACGTTGTATTTGGACTATTTAGGCCAAGGGTTGTGCCTTTTCATGGTTTATTCTCAATTACTATAAATAGGATGTACATTTACTTTTCAAACAAAACATTTCATGAATGAAAATTTCAGATTGAGTTTAGTCTCTCTCAAGTTTTAAGCTTTCTTTGTATTATTGTGTTAGAATGCATGTTTTAGAACTTTCAATCTAGTTTGATAAATTATGTTGTGGAGAGTTCGAAATCTTGAATATAGGAACACGTTCTCCTTTTTCCTTGATCATTCATCATCTTTCCAAGCCTAAATCTGTTTAGCTTTCTAAGGGTTGGTTTATCATTTAATTATTTGGGTTATTCTTATTATTATTGTGGGGTTCACCTTGAATAAGGGAGTTCTCATGCATAATTGAGGTAGTTTCTTTATCACTGGGTATCAGTCGGGTTCCATGTATGCTCAAAATCGTAATTTTGGAATGACATTGAGGCCTCTTAAGCCTCCTCAATTGACCACTACTATATCTACTATCCAACCACCTTTACCCATAGAAAAATTCATTCATGTGCCTCCTCCTTGTAGTGCTCATAGTAACCATCCTTTTCACTTAGAAACTTTAGTTTAAAAGAAAGTCGATATAAGTGCTGAAAATAGAGGATGAGAGCTCTCGAACACAGTTGGCATTGTATATGTTGATTATTTGAGGCACCGACAGGAGAAGCGACAGGGGGAACATAAAGAGGAAAGTTCAGGTGTACATAGCATGAAAATTGATGAGAGTTTGAATGAAGAGATTGAGGCAAGGTGTCTGACGCCTCCCTCTGTGACAATGGGAGAAAATTCAGGAAAAGAGGTCGGTTCAGTAGATTTATCTAGTGGAACAACAAAGAAAAGTAGGGAAGATGATTTTCAGAGGATGACATCTGAGGAATGGGAAGTGATGTTTGAAAATGCTAGGAGGATTGCCAATCAAATTGCTTGGAGAGCTTGTTATATGCAACCACTTGTGCAAGCACTAGTAAGATCTCAAAAAGTAAGTCTCCAAGAAGAGGAGATAGAACTAGAACGGCAGTTACCTCTTGAGATTTCAACGGAAGCGTTATCTAAGAGTTTAGAGGAGGAGGTAACTAGACCTACGCCAAAGGATGGAGATTGTGCAACTCCGCAAGTCACCTTACCTGGAATTGGAGTTCGAGCAGTCTTTGGCGAAGATAGATCACCACCAATAGAAATTTATGGAGATTGGGAAATTGAGTCTTATCCAGCCATGCCGGCTTTAAAGGCTAGAACTTGGATTTTAAAGATTATTTAAATGGAATCTTTTATTAAAAAAATCAAACTTTTTGCTATACTTTCCAATTTGAAATTCATTTATTTTAGAAAAAAAATACTTTCCTTAAAAAATGCTTTTTTCCCTTAAACTTAGTTTTCTCTAAATAAAAAAAGTCAAATAAAATTGGAAATCTATAATATATTAAAAAGGCACGATCTCGGAAGAACATTTTAGGACTATTATACCCCTTTAATTTTTGTTTGATTACAAACAAATAACTCAAATTAATTTTTATCTATAAAATAAAATTTATTTTATTTTAGAAGGGACATTTATTTGAGAATGGAAAAGTTTTGCCAATTATGTTTGAATTTAATAATAAAATTTAATTTAATTTAATTTATAATGCTAACTAGTAAATTAATTTGTTAATAATTAATTGTCAATAAATACTAAATATATGGAATATAAAAGGTTGGGATGTAAAACATGTTTTTTAACTTTTAAAAATTTGTTTAATTACAATTCATGATGGAATTTCTAGAGTTTTTAATTTTTCATCATCTATTACTATATAAATTTGAGCTTTCTTCCACCATTTTGTTCACAAACATTTCTCCATTCATTCTTTTTTTAGTGCTCTCAATTCTTTGCTCTCAAATAATTGTTCAATCTTGAAACATATCTTAAGATATTGGTGACATATTCAAGTTGCAAGGAAGCATGTTGTTGGATCTATATCTCGGATCCTATACCGTGTCATTTCAATTCCACTTTATGATGAAATGTACATGTATTCTGTTTGAGCAATGATTTTTCTATCTGCAATGGTGATCCTAACATACAATCACGATGTTGAAAGTATCAAATATTCCTAGAAGCATACTCTATTAAGAAAATTGGTGACTTGATAATATGCGCGACCAAAGCCTCGCAGTTGTTCACGTCAGAATTCTCGATTTTTTATATAGTTACAATAATTTCATTTGTTTGTTGATCGTAGTGCCAATATTTTTCTCTTTTCTCTCTTTTTTTTGTGGTACTTGGATTGATTTCATGTGATAGAAGTGACGTTCTAAAATTCTACCACATTGAATAATAGTATTAGTCAGTCAGCTATTCAGAAAAATTATTTTAAAGGACTTTATATCATATTGATGGTTGATTTGATTCATATTATATAGGTAGATAACATTTTTAACAAAAAAAAACAAAAAAAAAGAAGTTCAGTAAATAAAATAAATTTAAATCACATACTAATTTAGTTAAATAAGTTATTTTTATAATAAATAAAATTAATATTTTTATTACGTGGATTGTATCATGGTCATCCTCGTCCAGTGCATGTCACCCGTGGCCGCATGCCCATGACAGTCTCTTCCCTCCTACTTTTATGCCATGTATTTACTTTTGCATGTTATTTACTTTTCTTTGTACTTTTGGTGGCGAGTGACTCCTCGCCACTTTGCATGTTCACGCCTGCCAAAGGCAAAATGCTTTATAATCTACCTTAGGGGGTACACCTAGTCTCCTCCCTACATGGAGTTGTATTCTTGTCTTGCCGCTAATCTATTCTCTTGCATTCAAGCATACAACAAGCTTTCCAAAATGTCTTCAAACGTTTTCCAAACCTTTTTTCTCTAACCCCGTTTTCCAAAACCGTTTTCTTTAGAACGGGTGTGGAGGTTGCGATATATAGCCGTAGTGCCGCCGGCTATCCGATTCTCGTTGGCTGACTTGCTCGTGGGCAAGAGCAAGTGCCGCACAATCGCTTTGTGAGTCCTTTGAAAAGTGCGATTGTGACAGTTGGTATCAGAGCCTAGTTGGCTCCTCGAATCGAGATCAGTAATCATGTCGGTAGTGAAACAGTTGAACAAGACACATGTCGAACGACTCGTGGAAATTGAGGAATAGATGTTGTTCCTGAGGGAAGTCCCTGATCATGTTCGGTTCCTAGAAAATCGGCTAGAAGAGTTGTCTAGTAAGGCCGATGGAATCGATGCGGCAAATGCTCGAATTGACGCATTGCCAGTGAAAAAGTTGTTGGTTAGGGTTGAGACCTTATGTAAAGCCGGGAAAACGGCTAGTTTCGAGCCAAGGGACAGCTTGACGAGCTCTGTTGCTCATGTAGAGGAGCGTGTCGAATAGTTAGACAGCTCCCAGAAGGTGATCATACAGATGGTCAGCGATCTTTCCGACGACTTTCGAGCTGGTATAGAAGTCGTGCGGGTAGAAGTTGCTGAGATAAACACGAAGGTGAACCTCACCATGAAAGCGGTGGGAAACCAAGGCCCAACAGGGGGCAATGTCCAGTTTAACAAGGTGAAGATTCTGGAGCCTAAGCCCTTTGGCGGGGCTCGCGATGCCAAGCCCTCGAGAACTTCATCTTTGACATCGAACAGTACTTTCGAGCTACGAGTACAATGACAGAAGAAGCCAAGATCACTTTGGCAACCATGCATCTAGCTGAAGATGCAAAACTTTGGTAGAGGTCTAATTATATGGACATCCAAGAGGGACGATGCACTATAAACACACGGGATGAGTTGAAGAAAGCTCTCAGGGCACAGTTTTTTCCGGAAAATGTTGAGATTCTAGTGAGACGTAAACTGCAAGAGTTGCGACAAACTGGTTACATCAGAGACTACGTAAAACAGTTTGCTAAACTGATGTTGGACATACGAGACATATCAGAGAAAGACAAAATCTTCTACTTCGTGGAAGGCTTGAAACCATGGGCCAAGTCCAAGTTGTACGACCAAGGGGTTCAAGACCTCGGCTCTGCTTATGCTGCGGCTAAACGCTTGTTTGATCTTGGTAACGAGCAGTCTCAGGATTATAGAAGAAACCAACCCTCCTCAAGTAGTGGGAACAAAACCACTAGAACAAGCTCACCCAAAAGTRGGGGAGGAGACAGSAATGGAGGAACAGATCGCAGACCCTATCAGAAGGGTGGAACCAACTAGCGCGGGCCAAACCAACAGAACAACTTCAATCGAGGGCCCCTCGTTTGCTTTCTGTGTAAAGGGGCTCATCGCGTAAGCGACTGCCGACACAGAGTAGCCCTGAAGGCACTCCAAGCTACCATAGCCAATGGCCCTGAGGTCGAGACAGAAACCGTTGAGATAGATGTACTAACCAAAGAGCCTACTGATAACCCCCGCATTGGGGCACTGAAATTCCTGTCGGCTCTCTAGAAGAAAGTAGAGAAAGCAAAAGAACCACTAGAGAGAGGGCTCATGTATGTAGACATGTTGGTTCACGATAAGGTTGCCAAGAGTACTATGGTGGATGCTGGAGCCACACACAACTTCATGAATGAAACCTAGGCTCGCCGTCTGAATCTACAATGGGATAAAGATCCAGGGAAGATGAAAGCAGTTAACTCCGCGGCTCTTCCTATCGTAGGGATAGCAAAAAGGGTCCAACTGAAGATCGGGACATGGAGCGGCAAAGTGGACTTTGTAATTGTTAGAATGGATGACTTCGACGCCATGCTCGGAATAGAATTCCTTTTAGAGCACAAAGTCATCCCCATGCCCCTGGCGAAGTGTCTAGTTGTTACTGGATCCGATCCCACCGTTGTTCTGACGAGTATAAAACAACCAAGTGGGGTTAAGATGATATCAACTTTACAGCTGAAAAGGGGCCTTGCTCATGACGAACCAACATTTATGGTCATCCCAGTGATCGAAGAAGAAAGAAGTAAAGAAGTAATTCCCAGTGAGATCCAACAAGTCCTAGCTGACTATGCAGACGTTATACCCGACAGTCTGCCAAAGTCCCTACCGCCACGTAGGGGAATCGACCATGAAATCGAGCTAGTCCCAAGGGCAAAACCGCCCGCTAAGAATGCTTACCGCATGGCCCCTYCTGAATTAGCCGAGCACAGGAAGCAGCTAGATGAATTGTTGAATGCAGGATTCATCCGCCCAGCAAAGGCTCCCTATGGGGCCCCAATCCTTTTTCAAAAGAAGAAGGATGGCAGTCTCCGCCTTTGTATCGACTATCACGCCTTGAACAAGCTCACGGTACGCAATAAGTACCCATTGCCCATCATCACCGATCTATTCGATCGCCTCCACGGGGCCAAGTACTTTTCCAAGCTAGACTTGAGGTCTAGATACTACCAAGTGTGCATTGCAGCGGGAGACGAGCCCAAGACGACCTCTGTCACGAGATATGGGGCCTTCGAATTCCTTGTCATGCCCTTTGGCCTGACCAATGCCCCAACGACGTTTTGCACCTTGATGAATCAGGTGTTCCATGAGTATCTTGACAAATTTGTGGTAGTCTACCTCGACGACATAGTACTCTACAGTTCTTCTATGGTGGAACACCAGACCCACTTGCAGCTGGTCTTTTAGAAGTTAGACAGAATGAAGTATATGTGAAGAGAGAGAAATGTGCGTTCGTGCAAAAATGCATCAACTTCCTGGGCCATGTGATTGAGTGTGGCCGAATTGGCATGGAAGACGAAAAGGTCAAGGCTATCCAAGATTTTAAAGTTCTGAGTTCCATCACAGAACTGCAGTCTTTTCTCGGGCTAGCAAACTATTAACGAAGATTTATCGAAGGATTCTCAAAGAAGGCGGGACCATTAACTGAACTCCTGAAGAATAATAATACTTGGAGTTGGACTCTAGAGTGTCAAGCGGCTTTCGATAAACTCAAGAAAGCCATGATGGAAGGACCAATGCTTGGTATCGCAGATGTCACCAAGCTGTTCGAGGTAGAAACTGATGCCTCAGACTTCGCCCTAGGCGATGTTCTCCTACAAGATGGACACTCAGTGGCGTACGAAAGCAGAAAGTTGAACGACGCAAAAAAGAGGTATGTGGCCTCTGAAAAAGAGATGTTGGCAGTAGTCCACTGCCTAAGGGCCTGGAGACAATATCTCTTAGGCTCCAAGTTCGTTGTTAAAACCGACAACAGTTCGATATGCTATTTCTTCAATTAGCCGAAGTTGTCCTCGAAACAAGCCCGATGGCAAGAGTACCTCGCCGAATTCGACTTCCAATTCGAACATCGGCCTGGTCGATCAAACCAAGCAGCAGACGCCCTAAGTCGAAAGAGCGAACATGCAGCCCTGTGTATGTTAGCTCATCTAAAAGCAAGCCAGTTGACAAGGTCTGTTCGTGAAGCCATTTAGGCACACCTGAAAGACGATCCAGCAGTGCAAACAATCATTCAGCTAGTAAAAGACGGGAAGACCCACTAGTTTTGGGTTGAATACGATTTCTCTTTTACCAAAGGCAATCGTCTCTATGTTCTGCGAGCAGGAAACCTGAGGAAACTCCTGACGGGTGAATGCCATGACACCATGTGGGCTGGCCACGTTGGGTGGTAGAGAACATATGCCYTACTGAAGAAAGGATACTACTGGCCAAACTTGTGATACGACGTTATGCAATACACGAAGACGTGTCTCATCTGCCAACAAGACAAACTCGAGAGAACCAAAATTGCGGGCTTACTGGAACCTCTCCCAGTGCCATCAAGGCCTTGGGAGAGCGTATCCCTGGACTTCATCACCCACCTGTCCAAGACTGGAGAATCTGAAGCTATCCTTGTTATTGTCGACAGATTCTCCAAATACGCAACCTTTGTCCCAACTCCGAAGATATGTTCTGCAAAGATGACAGCACAGCTATTCTTCAAGAACATAGTAAAACTATGGGGTGTCTCTGAAAGCATCGTGAGTGATAGAGATGGAAGATTCACTGAAACCTTCTGGACGAAACTCTTCCGGCTACTTGGCTCCAACTTGAACATATCCTCAAGCTACCATCCGCAGACTGACAGTCAAACAGAACGCTTCAATAGTATGTTGGAGGAATACCTCCGCCACTTCATTGATGCTCGACAGAAAAACTGGATACAAATGCTTGATGTAGCCCAATTTTGTTTCAACTGCCAGAAGAGCACGACTACAAGGAAGGCTCTTTTTGAAATAGTATGCGGGCACTTATCTGTGTTACCTCACATCATCRACCACCCTTATGCAGGAAAGAGCCCCCAAGCTTACAACTTCACCAAAGAATGGCGACAATCCACGGATGTTGCCTGAGCATACCTTGAGAARGCGTCTAAGCACATCAAGAAGTGGGCCGACAAGAAGCACACACCGTTGGAATTTCAAGCAGGAGATCAAGTGCTCATTAAATTACGTCTAGAACAGCTTTGATTCCGAGGTAACAAAGATCAACGCCTTGTGCGAAAATATGAACGTCTAGTCAACATCATTCAAAAGGTCGAGAAGACGTCATACAAGGTCCAATTACCCTCATGGATTAAAATCCACCTAGTGATTCATGTGAGCAACTTGAAATCCTATCATGCGGACACCATTGATCCGGCACGTAACGAAGTGATCCGACCAGCGGTCACCTTGAACAACAAGATGGAAAAAGAAGTTGAAGAAATCTTAGCTGAAAGAACTCGTCCGGTCGGACGACTGAGAAGGGACGTACAAGAATTCTTAGTCAAATGGACAAGGCTTCCAAATGAAGAGATCAGTTGGGARCGTGCAGAAGATCTGAAATCAGCATCAACCTAGATCGCAAAGTTCGAGCAACGTCGGTTGACAGGGACGTCAACCATTTAAGTGGGGGAGGATGTCATGGTCATGCTCGTCCAGTGCATGTTGCCTATGGCCGCATGCCCATGATAGCCTCTTCCCTCCTACTTTTATGCCGTGTATTTAGTGCTGTTAATCCATCGTTGTTCATTTTGGTCCCTGTTGTTAATCCATCGTTGAATAGATAACAGATCGATGACTTAGGCATTTTTTTCATAGATATTTCTTTTTTAAAAACACATTTTTTCTTCTCCCCTCCAACTCGCACTCTTCGACAATTTCCAGATCAATCCAAACCCATCTACGATCTCTATTTCTTCTTCCTCCATCTAAGCCTAACCCACAAAATGAAAGAAGAGAGCGAGATGAGAGTTTGTGGGAGAGAAGAAAAAAGCCTGACAAAGAAAATGGGAGAAAGATTTGCCCAGAAAATGAAAGTCAAGAAACCAGCGGTTGAGGAAGACAAGGACAAGAAAGAGGAAGAAACAGAAATGGTAGATAGGTTGGGATTGATCGGTCGAAGATTGCGATTTGAAGGAGAGAAGAGAAATGTATTTTTATAAAAGAAAAATCTTTAAAAAAGAATATGGAATTCAATAAATAATTTTTGGTTAAAAGCCATATTTGATCCCTACCGATTTGCACAAATACCTCGGCGATTCCCGCATCCTGTTGTCCGGTCAAAAAGAAGAAGGGAAACGAAAGTTTTTTTTAATGATTTTTTATCCTTCTTTACCACCCGGTGCCGCGCTTGGGATGATTTTAGGCGCGGCCTTGCCTCCTAGATCCACTGGTCTATCGCTTGTAAAGCATCCCAGGTAGTACTCAATCAGATAGATTTTAGTCCCTAAATTTTAGTTTGTAACGCTTTAATCCATATACTCTCATTAAAGTAATGAGTTTTAGTCGCTTTGTAACGATTTAGTCCCCATAGTTTAAATTTTGTAACAATTTATTCCTTATAGTGAAAAGTCTTATAAAAATTAAGTGTCAAGTTTTATCATATATCAATTTAATCTTTCTAATTTATAAATATATTTGGTCACTCATTGGTTTATCAATCTATATATATAAGAAATTTAATAAAAAAAAAACACGATGCGGACTAAATCGTTGTAAACTTTAAAATACAAGGACTAAATGATTACATGTTAAAGTTTGAGGACTAAATTGTTATCAATTTGAAAGTAAAGAGACTAAATCGTTACAAATTAAAGTTTAGGGACTAGATCGTTACTTTAACAGAAGTATACGGGGACTAAAAGTATTTTTTAACCATAATTTTTAATCTTAAATATGCGGACCCGACCTTAAAAATTATTTATTTAAAAAAAAAACCTGAACACAGTTGTTAATATATATTTTAAATTTATGTTATGGTGTGAA